GGATTTTATTGAAAAATTATGTTCCCGATCGACCACCAACTAGAAGCCATGCAAATGGTAACGGTACATATCTTTTAATTTTGGGGGTACTCAGTATTAAGCTCATTCTATATTTTTCAAATTTTCCCCAAAAAGACTACTCGAGATTATTATTCGAATTTCTAATAGAGGTCAATATGCTGATAAATAGGGAAAGAGATAGATTTTTGTTAAAACCTCTGAATTTTTGGAAATTTGCTGAAGGTATACGTTTTTTAAAATATTTACCACATCTGAAATATTGAAGCTAGACATTTGTTCTTAGTGCAATATATTCCTCATTATTATCGCTTTAAATGATTTTTTTAGTATTAATAGTTTTCGCGTAATTTTGAATCAAATCATGTCAGTTTTTCCAGAAACAAAAACTTACTTTTCTCAAATGACTCCAATTTTTATCCTCCCCCTCCAAAAAAAATACCCTGAATAATATGGCAGAGGTTTTATTTTCATTAATACGTTCCACTTTCCAGAAACCACAAAGAAGTGTGTACAACCTTCTCGAAGACAGACACGGATACTGGAAATATGGTACAGAATGTTAAACGAATGTGACTCAAAAGTGAAGTGGAATTCTGCGCCCGGAGTCACTTTAAACTTAGGAGACGCCAGGAGACGCCTCGTCCTAGGCACAGACGCCAACGTTTTATGATCATGATGCGATCTTCCTTAGGCATTGTCGACGGCCAATGAACATCCTGTTGTTCAATTCAAAGCTATTTGTTATGCATATATCTACGCACTTTGCGCGACTTCAGTTGGCACCTATATGCTTTTTTGTTTCCAAGACTCAATTTTTTTACTATTAGTTTTTATTTAACTCCGCCAGTGAATGCACGTATTCTATGGCCATGCGATTGTTAAATACTTCTGCACTTTTTGTTAGAGTATTTTACTTGGCATTCTGAGATACAGAATTTTTTACCTCGATGGTTAACCAGGAAACAGAGTAACATTAAATTTGGTTGAAATTAAACGTCACCATTGCTCATCTTTGGGTTTAATCAGGCTTTGTCTTTTCCCAAAACACAAATTGTATTTTTAAGACCATCTTTGCGATACAAACTTGTTTTGTATCCTCAATGAAATGATCACCTTTGAGGCTGGAAATCTATTCCCCCACTCGGTGTCCGCGATCGCCTTCGTCTGCCGCAGCCGTGTCGATCGCGCGTTCGCAAAATTTGACAGCGGACGAATGGGCCCTGTCGCGCTTGCCGGCGCGCAGGGGGGTGAGGCTGTGTAATGAAAATGTAGCTTCCAGTTTAAAAGCGAATTTGAGGCCACGTGGCCAAGAAACGCCTCATCAATGTGCGGCGCAAATGCTATCCGTTCAAACTCGCGTCTCCGGCAGGGGGAACCCTTTCAGAATAGCAGTTTGGTGTAGGGTTTATGTGAATTAGGTTTCGTTTTATAGTCAATGAACAGGAAACTGTTATTCATTGTTGTTAATATCATCTTTTGCGTACTGAAATTGTTCAAAATAAAAATGTTATAATGAACCACCTGAAAAAAGATGAAGAACGACAAGTAGTTAAATTCTATTATAGTTAAGTAATTTACCTTCAACTATCTTTCTTTTTCGTTTTTCATCACGCTGAATATTTAATAACAGTTTCTACAGTAGACTGTGAGAAGAGGGGAAAATGGCCTTATGATATAAGGTGGGTTCGGGTTCGTATGACTTTATAAACGTCATTTTAGACTCTTTTAGAAAATGTTTTAGCTCATTTTAGGCTTTTATCGTTATTCCTAATCAAGTTAAGAGCAGTCTGAACAATAAATGACAAGTTTTAAATAATCAACTCATTATTTTACCTGTGAACCTGACAAACGTTTTCTCAAAAACACCAAATTGAAGAACAATTTTTAACTTCTTAAAAATCCAAATAAAAATTTACTTTTTTCAGACGCGCTGTTGTAATTTACAACTACATGCAATCCCAAAATATATTTAATAAAGAACTTCTCATTGTCTCTTATACACTTAAAGCTGTACAATATTCGCTCAACGTAACAGGAATCAATGATCAATACTTCACAACAACTACTGTCGATTTCCAAAGTAATTCTCTTAATATTTATTATTTTAAAACACCATTTGTATCTTTAATCTTCGCTTAACCAGAGTTTCATTGAATCTTCAAACCCTTTGATGAGATAACCTCATGTATGTTACTTCCATGCAACATTTTAATTCTTATACGTCGCTTCGTTTACTGGAAGGCGTCTACCTTCTAAGTTTTAGCAGGACATTAGTATTAATTAATTAGTAGTAATAAAGTAAATGACTTTTAACACAGAGTCTAGGCCACCGTAAAATTTCGATCACATAAAGAAATGAGTTTTCTTTTTTAAGGGCTTAATTTAGTTAATTTAATAGATTTCCAAATTTACATATCTTTTTCAAAATTCCAATTGAGCCATTTTTAAACTTATTACACATTGTAGCTGATTTTATATTCACGCATTAAGCTCAAAAATGATTGAATCATATATGTGAAATAAGATGTCTTTAAGAAGTAAGGAACAAAATAGGTTAAAACCTAAGAAGCATGGCCCTAGTTATAAGCAAAGGAAATCCTTGATACATTTCAAAGTATCTCTGGCTCAAGACGAGAACTACTATGCAAAGAATTGATAACAAGAAAAAGTAGAACTTGTCGAATAATTTGAAGGACGCGGATGATCGGAAGCCATTAAAAATCGTCGTGCCCCTCGCGGGTATGAAAACCCGACCGCCGATCCAGCCAAACGAAATGACTGCCGGCGGGAAACATTATTAATCTTAACTCGTGCCCGAGGCCCAGTTGACGGGCTGCGGCGAATCGGGGACAGTGGCCAGCCAACCACGCGGAACCTCCTGCCGGAATCTGCTAACGAGGCGCGGTAATGAGCTGCGTCCGAGGGCAGGGCCGGGCCGGGCCGGTCCGGGCCGGCGCGGGCCGTGGACGCCCGTCCCCGCCCTCCCGCAGCGCCGCTCGCCGCGTCTCGCTCCGAGCTGTTGACGCCAATTTCGCACGGACACGCGCGCGCCCGCGGCCTCGCGGGCGCTTCCCGCCAAGGTCGCCCCGCCCACATCCCGTTCTACCTGCGTCAACGCGCTCCTCCGCTCCCTCACCCTCCCCGCATGCTCATATGCATCCGTACCGTATCTTTCCCTTCGCCACAACTATGGCTGCACCAGTTCTTTCGTATCAATGCTTTACTTGCGAGGAAGGCCTAAACGGTATAAATAGCTGGTATTGGGTAACATAGGCCAAATCTAACTGCTATGTCCTAGGTTAGATCCCAGGCAATCCACGTGGAATTTGTGGTGGACGGAACGAGATCTCAGCAGGTTTTCTGTGGGTTCTCCCGTTTCTCCTGCCTTGCACCATTCACCTCATCTTTATTGCTATCATTTACTCAAATCATTCGTAGGCACTGGCTGAGATAGACAACTTCTGTTGCCACTACTGTCCCTCTGGTCGTGAGGTCGTAACCGGGCGTCGTCGCCCGGAAACACCAAATAAATAATTCATAAACTTCATTCACAGTTGAAGGGCCCATAATCATATATAAATAAAATAGATAATTATTATCCGGCACTGGCACCCTTGTTGCCATGGCTGCCCACTCTGCCGAAGCCGTCCCACCGCCAACGCTGCCCCTTGACATCGAAATCCGCTCCAGACGCCGCAGGGTCCTAGCTTCGAAGACCAGCTTCGGCACTTCTCTCCGATGGCTATTTGTCTGGATGCCCCACCCCTTCCTCCTGTTCCAGAAGTGGCGGATCACCATGCAAATGAACGCGGATATTTAGCGGACAAAAACAAATTTCACGCAACTGCGTTCAGATTTTGTGAAATACATTTGCATAAAAATTTGCTTTGAACTTTAAATTTACCTTCAGAATATGCTGTTTATTTTTTAAAATTGCGATTTGTTCTTAGCTCAATAGTTTGGTGGGCGTGCATTGACAACTTCGTTCATTGTTAGTGCACTTGTTTGCTTTGTTTCTGGTATTTTGTCCTGTAGTTTTGGAAATTTACACCAGAAATGTTTCAAAATCAATCTATAAATTTGATTGAAACCTTCAACTAAGAATAAGTCACATGGAAAATATATTGTTATCTAGATGGTAAAAAGTGTGCATCACTTGGTGTTTGAGACATTAGGCAATTGCAAGACGTAAGCAATAAATCAAAAACAGTCCTAGGTTTTTATGTATAGCTAATGGTATAATGTAGTGCCATACATGGTTCATTTTGAGCGTAAGTGTGCGAATCACTGTGATACTTTGACTTTTCGCGAAAATCCATCCAATTCATTCTGAACGTCTATAATTTGTTTTCAGTCTGCATGAATTATCTTTTAACGGTGTCAACAGCCATATGATTTTGTCGTGTCAACTGTGGTGTTGTGTATATAGTAGTATAAAACAGTGTTTTGGTAAAATTATAGGTTCTTATTATTGGCAATCAATTATAGAAGTTTTTCTTTCAAATTCATTATTTCAATCTTACCAACCTACGCATACACAATCATTACTATCCGTAATATAAAAACCGTGCTTGTAGGATTTGCTTTGATCTATTGTTTTTGGAGTGTGATTTTGCGCTTTTCTCGGTGTTCCTTCAAAGTAAATCTCTCGTTGTATTAATACATTAATGTAAAGAGTTTGTAGAATTGCGTGTTCAATTGAATTGTGAAACAAAGACTTGCACAATATACTTTTTTCATTGCGTTGTCTAAACATTTCTTTCAGAGTTGCCATAGTATCTAAGGCATAAGCGTAGCAAGTTGTGCACCTATGTAACTTTCGTCTAGTATGTCGAAAAAGTGTGAGAATTCGGTAGTTGTAACTCATTTTTATTTGTTTATTGTTTTCTTTTCAATTACAAACACATTGCGCAAGAAAGTGATTTGACCCATTTACAAATCCCAAGAAGCTTATGTGAATCTTTGTTTTGTGGTTGCAGGGCCAGTGCCTTATCAACGTGGGAGGAGATGTTGTGTACGTGACCTATGATGACTGAAGCGACGACCGAGAGCCCACCTGTTGACTGACGCGGCCAAAGAGAGTGAGAAGACTGAAAACGCGACACACGCGCGCAGACTGAAATAATGACCATGGACGACATATTAGAAATATAGACGTTATTGCACTACATAAACTTGCGTTTAATTTTTTATCGTGTCTTAACCTTTCTGATATGTCCATCCTTGATGAAATGTAAGAAGAGAAAGATTTGATTCTTCATGCTTTTTTGTAATACCTTTTCAATTTTTGAAATGTAACAGTTTATTTTAAGGGACACACACACACACAAAAGAATATTAAAATTTACATAGACATGCAGTGCAAAATTTCATTTTGGTATCATATTAATGGTTACGAGATGTAATTCCTTCATAATACGCAAAAAATAGACATTGTGTTTTGGAGAATGTTGAGGTATATTTTTTCGCAATATTGTAAGATTCTTTGTTTTGCGACAATTGTTCAAATTATTAAAAACTTAAGTAATCCTGAACATATTGAGGGCCTTGATGAATGTGATAAGAATGCACAATGTGATTCACGTACTGTTATGTAACTTATTATAACGACTAACCGTGCTGGGTTGATCCAGGTACTCATACATACATATCAAATTTTAAGATACATTTAATTGTAGGTTCTGATAAATAAGGACAACGGAAAAAACTCATTAGATTAAACGTAACTCGGCGAGAACGTGGACTTTTCCAAATTTTGTTATTACATTAGCTACACATGTTCAAAATTAGTAAAGACCTCACTGTAATTTTCTTAAAATGTTAATATTCTTGGCACGACTTACGTTGAACGCGACAGAAATATTTTCGTTTCACTTTTGTGGAGTCTAGTGTCTGGTATCAAGGAGAAAAGCCATCTTATGGACGACGTATCCTGATTGCATCCCGCTGTCAAATTTTCCTAAGTCTTACACCTTATATAAAATGTTCAGACAGATTTCATCCCGTTCAACTTTCCTCATAAATCCAAGGAAGTGCTGGCTCACTTATTAGTGCTTCCAAGATCGCCCTTCCCCCTTCGAGGGATTCTGTTTTAAAGAAGCATGTGTATGATCGTTTGGGGCACTATTAGCTACTACGTAAAAGTGTATGGTGGCAAAACTTAAAACCTCCCGCGTACTTTTAGCTGCTCACTTAACATACTTCCGAAGATACCGCCACGTTCACCTGCGTGCGAGATTTTCTCTCGACTGGTGTGAGATCACATATTTGGGTTACTCGTGAATAAAAATTTAAATAATTTGTTTTTCTCCTTCAAACTCTCGAGCACCGGGTGAAATGTTATTATCTCTGCCTTCTCAGGTAGTCAAAAGTGAAGGAGTCTGGGAGGCGCGTGTGAGAGAAACCTGAACTCGGATTGGAATCGGGTGGTATCCCTTATAGATGTAAGGTCGTTTCCAAAAAGCAACTGAGAATGAGTAAACGGCTCTCCACTAAAGCACCTGTGGATGTTCTCGTCAATTGCAACGAGTAATATTACAAAATTAGTAATTTATTGGTTCGTTTCTGATCACTTATCAACCAAGCACCCGTTCTCGGAACTCAAGCGTTGAGCGGCCTATTGATTCTCATTAGGTAGGCTAATGGGTTTTTGTTCCCCCTAAACTTCTAGCAAATATTTAAATAAAATGCTCATGAAGAGAATTGTTACAAAAATTCCATATCAGCCTTCGCCAGGGTGTCTGAAAGATCTTTTCGAATGCTCACTAATGAAATTTTTCTTCGGAAGAAAATTATTTCCGAATGTTCATTAGGAAGAGAATAAAATTAGAGTGAATGTTCATTAGCGAGTTTTCTAAAGAAAATATTTTTCGAGTTCTCACTAGCGTGGCATAATTGTGTTCATTGATGGGCATAAAAATTTAGCGCGTCACAAAATAGAAAGTATTCAATATGGACATTTTCTTGCATTCCCCTCGCCCAATTCATGCCCGCCTACTTGAAATCGAGTACACTGCAGACTCATCGCCACTTAAATACATGTACTTTAGGTGGCATTGACTGGCTGTTGCTGTGCTCGGATTGCATGGCGTGTGTTTTTCGCAATATTTGGTTAGCAAATTTTATGTAACCGATTGTAGCTCATTATGAAGTTTGTTTCCTTAGGAATATTAAGTTTGTAATGTTTTGTGGTTAATAATAACTGATACTAATAAGAAAGGTGTCGACGATGTTTTTATTATTTCCTAACCTTTGGTATCCATACAGGTGATTCAGCCCTCGTTGCTAATACACCGGAATCTTATCCCATATGTAATGTACGGACTGAATTTGCCAAAATTGAATACTATTCGTCGTTAATTTATTACATAATTAACGTTGAACTTTGGACTATGGGCATGTGCTCATTTAACACGGGCTACGGTAAGTGAACGAGCGGTTTTCGTTCAAGTCGCGTTGGGGCTCGCGTAGTCCTGGGAGCGAACACCAGGCAAAATAGCACTGGGGGTCAACGCATCACAGTCCTTAGTCTGGCGGACAATTCATGCGGAGAGATCACGACTTTTCCATTTCCAGCAGGTGCAACATTAAAGCAGTAGAAACGTATAACGTTTTAAATTTGCTAGGCATTTCCTGCGAAAACCAGGAATTTCGTTCTTTGGTTAGGTGAAGCGTGTTTTAAGAGAACTGGCACATTAATGCGCACAATTTGCATATGGGGCCGAGGAAAATCCGCAAGTTGCATGAAGTGCAGATCATCAATAGGGATTCTCTGTAAATGTGTCAGTTGGTGGAGTCCAGTATTTGGATGAATTTATCCTCGGTCCTTACTTTTTATCAGAGCGTTTACCAGGCGTTCAGTTCCAGAATTTTATAACTTGGGTAAGTACTTCCCACGCTTTTGGAGCTGGGGGTTAAGGAAAGACCGCGTTTGTGCTACCAAACCGCGTATCGTGATGACCTTCAACGCACTGAAAGCATGACTGCGAAAATAAAGGCACAACTCCGCAATGTGTGTGTCACAGAGGCCGTGCAGCACCTTGCGTATACGTAGGAGGCCATTTTGAATACTTGTGGAGCCCCTGTTACACGAGGTGAAAATGCGAAATTTAACAGAATACGTAAATATGATAAACTATCCTAAATAACTTAAATAATCGTTGTTCTCTCTCTTTTCATATTTGTTATATGAGTAAGCAATAGTAGCAACAGGAAACAATGTTTAATGTCATATGTGGTCTACCTTTCTTTACAAAAAATGACCAATGACAATTTTTTTTTTCAAAATTTTGAATAGAGTTTACACCATTTCCCTTTACAGTTATGGATAACTTAGTGTACTCCATCACCTTCTTGTATATGAGCAAGGAGGACTGAATCAGTCTGTATTACTTCGTGGTCCTTCCCTGGCCTACGACAGATTTACGTGGTTTGCTAATAGGTAGCGTTTTTCAACTTTCTCGAACCGAATGTTCTATTCTTTTGGCGTCAGTCGGCCTTGGCGATGACAAGGACGTTCAGTTACAATGTTGTGAAGCCAGCAAAAGCAAAAATAAACTATTCAAGTGCTTCAGAGTTCAGGGATTTACAGAACTACAAAACATTAGTAAACATTTCAAGGTCGTGGTCCAATTGACGTTGGAAAGCCAAACGTCTCGTCAACAGCTGCAGAAAGCCAATGCGCCGCCACTGAAAATGTCTAGCGTAGCTGTGGATGGAACGTTTGGCCTTCTAACGCCAACAGAACCATGACTTATCACCACGGAAACTTTTACTAATATTGACTCCAGCTGTGAAAGCCTTTGATGCTAGAAGTACAAAAGACGGCTCGTTGTGAATACGAAACGAGAATCTATATCAGAAGATTTATGCTACGGGAGGACAAACATCTAAGGTAGGTAAAGTACTTCTTTATTAGTATGTCGGCTGGTTGCAAGATTTTCTGTTTCCAGCTCTCGAATTATGCATAGTTCGGCTTTCGAAGTAACAACGTAATCAGTGTTGTCCCAATAACATAAAGATATAGCCGGCGGGTTTTTAAGAGACCGGTGCTATTTCTTTAGGGCTAACCTAGAAGACGATTTTTTAAAAATATTAACCGGAACCTTAAGATTAGAGAACCTACGTCTAATTAATAGGGTCACCAAGCAACATTGTATACCGGTGGTAAGCTGATGAGCGTTTCAAGGCTGAGTAAGTTGTAATTGAAAGAGTTAAAATCACCGATTGATCTTCTGCAAATGGTTCATGAGAAAGGAATACGATGGCATTCATTTTGCCTTCCGTGTATTGTGAACTAATGTATACTTTTGTATGCAACGCGGTGATACGATACGACGCAATCTTCTTCAATGAGGAATTCAAGTAATTTTCTTTGGGGAATTGGTTGAGGTATATTAACCGGCAACAACTGTTTACCACTGCCACACACTAGCTAGATAGCTTAGCCGAATTCAGCCTTTCTCCGAAGGAGAATTTTAACGGCAAGCTGCCTTGAACGATAGATTGCCCTAGACCAAGGTATGACGGCGCTGTATCTCGCGTTCAAGAACGGGGCGGTGGAGTACCGGCATATCCAGGGACATAATAAGCATTACATTAACGGGACTAATAGCCATAGCCGTTGACGCGACTGGAAACACAAAATAATAATCAAACTAGCTGGTGGTTACGATCGTTGGTTGGACACTGAAGCAATACGCTCTTGTACGTTATTATTTTCAAATACAAGTATGACATACAGAAGCAAGATGATATATTTACAAAATATAATTTTGTAGATAACAAAATGCATATTGTATCATTTTGTTGTTGTTTCATAATACTTCCAGACTGAGGCATACGGCGTTCGTCAACTATCATCATTTTTTACTAAATAATTTGTGATCTTAAAACGTTTTTTGGAATATGTGTTTACGAATAAATAATTTTTATATTATCACTATGTCATAATGTGTTTTATTTTCAGTTATGTAACAAAAAAAGCCCATGAAGGAGAGGAATAAAAAGGCTAGGTTCCCAAAACAAATATTAATATTTCGTTTCGGTTTCCTGTATAAGGGACGTCGTCGCAGATCCACGCCAAATATGAATATGTACTGTGGGAGCATAAACTTGGTAATTTCGAGAAAATCAGACATTGTAGACTTGGTGGTCAACATAGAAAATTGTTATTCAATTATATATCACATCAACTTTACAAACACGAAAAAATTTTGACTCTCCCAAGAGTGGGGTGAAATAGTTAAAAGTTATATATTAATAAATTTTAATTCTCTGGTTTATGATCCATTACGTACCAAACAGCAACACTGGTGATGGAGAAAGGAATTTCAATTAAAATTAAAAAAAAAAGAAACATTAAAATATTTTAAATATTATATTGTCATAATAATAATAATCAATAACAATTATCCATTCAATTGTTATTAATAAAGAAAAATCCAATGTCAGGAAATAATTCATTACTAAGATTTTTGCTCTAAGTATTTGTAACTTTTTCATTCTAGCTTAATTGATTTTTGCTCTCAGTACATCTTTAATAGAAATATTCTGTGTTTTTTCTTATTTATTG